CTTCCATCTCTATATTTGTTTGATCTGTTTTACTATGAAGACTAATATCCTTATTTCATGCTCCAATTTGAACGGAGCAATTCAAGTATATAGCTACAGACACACTAATGAGAGGTTGTTTTTTTTTTAAAATAGAAATATGCTTTTTATTACCATTGAAATTCATTGATTGAGCTCTGAGATATTCAGAGGTACAGACTTTTGAATGGTTTGAAATAGAGTTTGAAATAGAGTAATTTATTACCAGGGCTCAGAAGACACTCTACCTTGTGTCAGCATTCAAATGAATCAAGTTCTCTGGGCTTATCTACATGCAAAAATTGTACAGCTTTAACTATAATGGTATAGTTAAAGCAGTACAACCCCACTAGCGTGGCTGCAGTTAATACAGATATCAACATGCAGCTACTGGTATTCTTATTCCCATAGGCTTAAAGGGATAAGTTATAGTAATATAATTGTGTCCATATTAGGATTTGTATCAATTTAATGGTTTTAGTTTAAAAAAATCATATGCCTAATCAAAATAATTAAATCAATACAAGAACTGTGTAAACCAAGTTTCTGATGCTCAGTGTACTTTTCCAGGCTGATTTTGATCTATGGAATCCTTTCCTGGAGTCTCCACAGTGGGGGTTGGAGATGGGGGGGGGGGAAGGAAAGGGAAAGGGGGGGCTGAGATAGGAAAGACCTGCTATACCAGTGGTCTCCAACCTTTTTACGCATAAGATCGCTTTTTGAATTTAAGATTAACCCAGGATCTACCCTGCCTCTTCCCTGTGGCCCCACCCCGCTCACTCAATCCCCCCTCCCTCCCTCGCTCACTCTCCCCCACCCTCACTCATTTTCACAGGGTTGGGGCAGGAGGTTGGGGTAGGGGAGGGGGTGCAGGCTCTGGGCTGGGGCTGAGAGGTTTGCAGTGTAGGAGGGGGCTTCGGGCTGAGCCTGGGGCACAGGGTTAGGGTGCAGGAGTGAAGTGTGCAAGCTCTGGGAGGGAGTTTGGGTGCAGGGGTCATATGGTTACACTGCACCTAATCTCATAGAATCCACTGGACATTTCATGAATTTTACTTATTAGTGTGATTTGTGGTTTATAGATCCAAAATCTTTCAGGGATGGTCACAAATCAGTGTAACATCATCAACTGTGGGGTGTGCATTGGCTGAGCCTAGGGCAGGGGGTTGGGGTGCAGGAGTGAGGGGTGCAAGCTCTGGGAGGGAATTTGGGTGCAGGAGGGAGCTCTGGGCAGGTGCAGGGGATTGGGGTACAGGAGAGGGTGAGAGGTCTGGAAGGGAGTTTGGGTGCAGGAGGGGACTCCGGGCTGAGGCAGTGGGTTGGGGTGCAAGGTGCAGGCTCCAGCCAGGAGGCACTTACCACAGGCAGCTCCTGGCTGGTGGCACTGCGGGGCTCAGGCAGACTACCTACTTGCCGTGGCCCCATGCCACTCCCGGAAGTGGCTGGCTGCTGGCATATCTCTGCAGCCCCTGGGTGGGGGACAGAGGGCCTCCATGCGCTGCCTGTGCACGCAAGCGCCACCCCCCGGAACTCCCGTTGCCCAGTTCCCAGCCAATGGGAGCTGCGGGGACGGTGCTCGGGGCAGTGTGCAGAGTTGCCTCCTCCCTCCCATGAGCTACAGAGATGTGCCAGCAGCCAGCTGCTTCTGGGAGCAATGTGGGGCCACGGCAGGCAGGCAGCCTGCCTGAGCCCCACTGCACCGCTGGACTTTTAGCAGCCCGGAGATTGTGACTGACTGGCAGAGGCTCCAGGATCGACCAGTCCATCGCGACCGACAGGTTGGTGACCACTGCCCTATACACACCGCCATCATTCCTTTAAAGCAATATCTCTACTGCATCACTGCCAGGAAGTGTTGCTGCCAAACGATTGGATCATAACTGCTAATAGCAAATCATCTCTCTAGAAGAATGGAATGAGACTGGTTAAGAAATAAAAATCAGTCCACATCAGAAAAAGATTGACACTGGCAAACTTTTAGACACATTTGCTCTTTGCTCATGAACCAATTAAAAAAAATCGTTCACTTGAATTGCCAGTTGGTCAGCTTATTAAAATAATCTGGGAGGGAACATGGGAACAGGGGCATTCAATGTGTTTAATTTCATTTACCTCAGACATATTATTGGCCTATTAGAACACAACTAGCAAAGTAAATTATATTAAAAAGCTACATTTTCTTTAAGGTATGCATACATTTGGCAGTACTATTTTGTAGTTTTCTCAAAGTTTTCCTGGACCTTAATCTAAAATCCCCCACTCTATATAGACTCTAGAAGCAACAGCATGGCCAAGCGATAATTTAAAAAAAAATTACACAGTTTAAATGTAGAGACTTAATGGCTATTTGAAGTGGAAACTCCCCCAATTTAGGAGTAATATTAAAATAGCTTTTAAAATCACTCTATTCTGGAGCAAGCCGTGCATCTGAGACAAAGAGGTTAACAAACAGGTTTGATACTTAGTTATGCTACATAAAGCGTCATATAGCAAAGAGTAAAATAACTATGGCTGAGTAGCAAGATCCATGTGGGTGGGCTCCTGTGCCTGCAGGAAGGGGGTCTTTATCTATTGATATACAATATTGATTGTATATTTTGTGGTACTTGTACAGTAGTAATTATTTGATTTGTTATACAAATTACAAATTCTCATGCTCTGATGAGTATGAGTGTTGTGTCAAGATTTGGATGCTACTTACTATATGCTCAGCTTCTTTACTGCTACCAAGCACCACAGTAAAATAACTCAAATATTGAGGAAAAAGTAATCAAGTCCCTCCTGGACAACAATATTGCCTTCCACTTATATAACATCTTTCAGCTAAGGATCTCAAATTATCTACAAGGGAAATTATTCTTCTCTTAACAGCTGGGGAACAGAGACACAGAAGGCAAGAATTAATTTTGAACATACAACTTGAAACAGCTAGGGCCTTATTTTCAGAAGTGCTGAGCATAAATAGTAACTGAAAGGGAAGCTGCAAGTACTCATTACCTCTGAAAATCAGGACTTTTGTGTTTCAAGTTCAATGCCCAAAATTGAGGCACCAAAACCTTGAGTGACCGTTTTGGAAAATTAAACCTAAGGGAAGGGCACATAATGAGTTAGCAGTACAAGTATTCAACAATGCAGAAGTGCCATGCAATTTCCTGGGCAGCGCCTACTCTCACACTAGGTTTCATATAAAGAATGGAGGATCTCCCTCTGTTTCCATTTCCTTGATTAGGATCACAGCAGCAGGACCGGCTATATAGTTTGCAGCAGTACTAGCAAGCCACATGCTCAAAAAGTCAGGCCCCCGATGCGTCAGGCCCCCCAAAGTTAGTGAACATTTAAAAATAGAAGTTTTCTTTTAAAATTTGCCTCCAAACTTGTTTCTGCTATAAACCTTTTTTAAATGAATACTTAACTTATCATGCAGTTATACAGCTTCAAGAAATGGAACTTTAAGAAAGACACTATATATTGCAAGACTAGCAAGTCATGACAGCTAGCAACACTTTACCGTGTTTGGGAGGCAGATTCAACCCAACTGGAGACAATGCACTTGCTCTTCTTCTCCCCACCCCCTCCCCAGGAGAGGATAAACATGTGACAGAGGTGTGATCAGGTTGCTTAATGACACTGCTGGAAGGCACCCCAATACTAGGTTGAAGAGCACAATTTGAAAGCCTATACACAATAGAACAAGGCTCCAGAGGCAGGTGAGGCTGGGGCAAAACCAGGCCTTGAGTTGCCTCTCTCTCCAATCCTGCTGCCAGAGAAGATCAGGCATATCACAGCTGCCATTTGTGGTGGAACTAGGGATGCTGGGTATGCTACCACACCCCCTAGCTTGAAGGGGTTTCCCTTATATACAGGATTTGCAGTTTGGTTCAATGTCTTTCAGCATTCCCACTATAAAACTTGTTTCAGCACCCCAGCCAACTGGAGAGAGACATGGCCTGAACAGGAGCTTTTGCCTCACCCTCCCCACCTGCAGCCAGAGAGGGGCAGGCAGGGCTGAGCATCAGTATAAGAGGCGGTGTGTGTGGGGGGGGAGACAGTTCACTCTTGGGGCCAGCCCCAAGCAGATGGGGAAACAACTCCTGGCTGCTCTTGCCACGCTAGTGCCCACCAGGCTGCATGAGCTTCACCCTACACCCGCCCCCGTCCTCAGCATTCACAGTCTTACTCCCTACCGCTGGCCAGGGCAGGCCCTGGACGCCTAGGCCAGGCAGGGCGAGCACAGCCAGCCCAGGCAAGTGGCCCAAAGCGAAGCCAAGATTACAGCTCTCAGCATTCCGCGCTCCGCCTTGCTGCGGGCCACGGAGCGGGGCGAGCTGCGACTTCCCGCCGTGCCCCCACCCCAGAGGCGCTGCACGAGCCCCCTGGCAGGAAGCCGGCAGCCCTAGGCTTTCCTAACCCCCAACTACCTCATTTCTCTCACGTGACCGTTAAACTACGTTCCCCCCCCCCGCCTTAATATACTTGGTGGATACAGCCGCCAATCACATTCTTCCACTTCGCACTGTCCCATTTCCATTGGTCGCTGTTGGTAAAGCCGCCTCTTCCCCTGCCACGCCTGTTCTGATTGGCTGAGATCATGGGCCTGTCCCTGCCCCATGGAAATACCTGTCGCTCTGTGACAGGTTGACAGGGAGGGCCTGACTGAGAGGGTAAGGTGGAGATTGGTTCCTCCTCCCCTTTCACCTCCTCTATTCCCCTCCCCTCTGCTAGCTCCGCCCTCTCTCAGATGGGCGGGGGAAAGAGACTCCCATTCATTTATCCTCGCAGCTCTGCTGAATCGCCTGCGGCTTTAGGCCTTGCTAGTCTCATGCCCCAGCCTCGCCCCACTGTCTCCCACGTCATCTCCCCGTACGATTTCCTCTTGGCTCGCGCACGGCCCTCCCCCGTCTCCCACCTCTCTGCCTCCCACCCACTCGTGCGCAGCCTCTCTGCCTCCCTCGCGCCCCACCCCGCCCCCCGCCGGCTCCTCCTTCCCCCTCCCTCTCTCAGCCTGTGGCTCCTCCTTGTCCCTCAGCTCGCGCGCGCTGTCCCGGTCGCGCTCTCTGCCTCGCGCCGCACTGGGATGTTGACGGCTGCGTCTGGAGGCAGATCCCGGCTCGGCGAGGCGGCGGCCGGGGGAAGCCAGTGAGGCAGCCACAGCCCCCGCCGTAGCGCCCAGGGAGCGGGCGGACCCTCCCTCTTTCCTCCCCCCCGCCCGTGCGCTAGGCGGAGAGACTGCGAGGAGCCCGGGGTACAACATGGCGGAGCACTCGGCCCCCGACCACAGGCACAAACCCGCCAACTCCTTGGCGCTGGGGAATAGCCGGCCCGGGACGGGCAGCGGCTCCTCCGCGGCGGCTGCCGGCGGCCCCCCGGCGGGTGGAGGCGGCCTGTCGGGGGGCCTGTCGCAGCCGGCGGGCTGGCAGTCGCTGCTCTCCTTCACCATCCTCTTCCTGGCCTGGCTGGCCGGCTTCAGCTCCCGGCTCTTCGCCGTCATCCGCTTCGAGAGCATCATCCACGAGTTCGACCCCTGGTGAGTCGCCGCCGCCGCCCTGGGGTAGGGGGTAGTGGGGAGGGCGGGGGTAAGGGGTCGGGGCTGGTCCTGGGCTGGGCGATGAACGCGCCGCCCCACCCCCGTGTCCCGAGCTCCGGAGGCGGGGCGCTGCCCCCGGTGAACGGCCCAATCCGGCCGGGCACCGGCCCGCGGGCCCGCTCGCCCACTTCGCCAAGTTGAACTGCGCCTGTTCCTCCCGCTGCCGGCGGCGGGAGCCGCGAGAGGACGTGGTTCGGCTGGACTGGGAGCGAAGGGGCATCAGGTGTTGGGACACGCGAGGCGAAGGGCGCCGTGGGCCGAGCGAGGAGGCGCAGGCAGGCGTCGGGCTGGGAGGCAGCGTGAGCGGGACCCGAAGGTAGGGCACAGAAGCCTTATTGCTTTGCCTTTCTCCTTCCCGTGTGCCCCCTTTGAGTTGAATTTTGCATGCTGCAGCTAGGAGTAGGTTGGTACAAAATACAGGTTTTGTGGCAAGGGAGGTATCGGGAAAGTTGTGGCAACAGCAGGCAGGTGGGCTGCAGAGTGACATTGGAGAAATTGAAATCAGTATGTGTTTTTTTTAAATGAAGATGAACCAAAAAGGAACTAGAATTTCATATGAAGTCCTTCTGTCACATTGTTGTCTCCAGATGTGCAGTAGCACTTCATAGTATTCTTTCATTGGATTCCTTTTTGGCCAGGGCCAGGGAGGGAGGAGGGTAAGGAATGCACCTCAGGAAGTAAATCTTCATAAAAGTGACTGGTGGGATTACAATAAAACGGGTGACACTGATTTACTGCCAGATATTTCAAAGTGCCCAGTTTTTTTGTTTAACCTACGGTTTCTTACTGTTTCTCAAATATCATTATTTTCTAAAGATTGTTTTCATTTGTATGTAAACTGGATTCTTGTGCGTTGGAGGGAATGGAACCATGTTATGCAAAAGATCAAGAAATGCTGCACTAAATTCTGTTCTAGTCCTTGCAGCAAGGTTTGTGGCTCAGAGGAATACAGCAGGAGTGTGGGGAAATTTTTTGGAGAGTATGGCATTGAAATATTGTGTCTTGTGTTGAGACCATTCTAGGAAGGTGCCCCGTATTTAGATCCTTAAGTAAGATATTTTTCCATTATTCATTTGATTTTCTTATTTTTGTTTTTTAAACAAGCCAAAATTTTAGGTCTGAGGTCTCTTATGGTTGATCATTTTGAGGGAAGGGCATGCTCTATGTTTTGAAATACTGAGTATACATTTTATTGTTTTTATAAAATCTAGAAAAAATGTAATGTTTTACTAAATAGATATTGTACATTTCAATTTGCACACTTGAATATTCAGTTTAAGTGCAACTTTTATTTAGTTTGCAAATTATGGTATTTGAGGGCAGAGGTAGTGTCCAGAGAAGTAAAGAACATGATGAAGGCTTTGTTCTTAAGCATTGTGTTAAATCCTTTTAATGCAAATTCAGTACTGAAAAAGCAAAAAAAAGGATACTTAGTTCAAGCATTGGCCCGTTATAAGAGTGTTTTATTGTGTAAATGTAAATAAGTGAAATTGAAATGCAAATCTAAATTAATATAAATTAGAGATTAAGGGATTTATTAAATTTGGTGCATACTTTAGGAATTGTCGCCTATATAATTTTTTTATGCTTTTCTGTTCTGAGTGTAGGTAAAGGGATTTACACTTTGAAATAGTTTCCAACTGCAATAGTTTTCGCAGTCAGGAAGTTTTTCCTGGTATACGGTCTAAATTCTCCCCTAATTTCTTCCCGTTACTCTTTTTTTATCAAGGTTCATTCTCCTCAGATGAATGGGAATTGTGCTGTCGTGAGTTAGGTGATGGTAGTATCAACTTAAAAAAAAAAAAGAAAGAAAGAAAGGAAAAAAAAGGATAAAACAAAAATTAAATTTCTAGCTCTTATGGCAGCAAAGGTAACATTCTACTTGTAAACAGCATGTTAGATGCAGTCATCTTCCTGACTACAAACAGACAGCTTCGGTCTATCTGCTGCTGCATGTAGCTTTGTCAATCATCTGTAGAATAAAGTTAATAAAACCCAGCGGTTATTCTGCAAGTCTTGGAGCAGCAGTGAAAATGTCAAGAATCGTGTCAATGTTATGATGCTACATGCCAGAAGTGTAGCAGTAGGCAGTAGAGCTATTTAGTGGGAAGAGAACCTAAACTGTGCAAGATCTGGAATAAAGATGGAGTAGAGGAGACCCTTCTACATTGCAGCTGTCTTAGTGCAAGGAGACAGAGCTGCTCCTCCATTTGAGCAGTTAGATAGGAGTAGAATTGCAAATTTATGACACTCCTACTAGTCAAAGTCCGGTTAGAAAGAATCCATAAGCAGAGTCCAGGAACCACGCCCAGGTAAAAATCTCAGTACCTGCCTCCTTCCTAGGGTATGTCTACACTGGCAGAGTTACATCGCTGACAGTTACATCGCCGCTCAGAGAGCGTTGAAGGGAAACCACTGTTGTGTGTTCACACTGTCAGCTGCCTGCGCAACAGCGTGTTCACACTTGCGGCACTTGCATCAGTATTCGGAGTGATGCACTCTGGACAGCTATCCCACAGAGCATCTCTTCCTCTTCTGCTGCTAAGAGTTGTGGGAAGGAGGAGGGGGTCACAGGGCATCCTGGGTTCTGTCCCAATGCCCCGTGATGTATTGCTTCGCATCCCAGCAATCCCTCTGCTTCCATCCGCATTTGGTGCCGTCTTTCAACCGTTTGTGTACTGCACGTCCTGCCTCTTCGGTGTGCAGGAATGGATCCCGCACTGTCGACCAATATGCTGCTCACTCTCAGTAACATGTCACGAGTAGCAGTGTAGTTTTTCCTTAAACTACAAAGGCAAGAGGAGTGTGACATTGATCTCGCCACGCATAGTAGTTACGACACAAGATTGCTTGTGACATTCACGGAGGTGCTGACCATAGTGGAACGCGGCTTTTGAGCTCGGGAAACAAGCGCTCAGTGATGGGATCACATCGTGATGCACGTCTGGGATGACAAGCAGTAGCTGCAGAACTTTCAGATGAGGAAAGCCACATTCATGGGACTGTGTGATGATGAGCTCACCCTAGCCCTGCGGCTCAAGGACACGAGAATGAGAGCTAACTTGTCGTTGGAGAAGCATGTGGCGATTGCACTGTGGAAGCTGGCTGCTCCAGACTGCTGCAGAAAGGTCGCTAACCAGTTCGGAGTGGGAAGGTCGACCGTTGGGTTGACGGAAGTGTGCAGGGCCATTAATCGCATTCTGCTCTGAAAGACCGTGACTCTGGGCAATGTGTGTGACGTGGATGGCTTGCATAAATGAGCTTCCCTAACTGCAGAGGGGCGATAGATGGCACGCATATTCCAATTCTGGCACAAGACCACCTAGCCACCGAGTACATTAATTGGAAGGGGTATTTCTCTATGGTTCTCCAGGCGCTTGTGAATTACTATGGGCGTTTCATGGACATTAATGCATGCATCTTTCGGAACACTGGCCTGTTCAGGAAGCTGCAAGCAGAGAGTTTTTTTTTCACGGACTAGAAGATCATTGTAGGGAAGTCAAAATGCCCATTGTAATCCTGGGAGACCCTGTCTACTCCATAACGCCATGGCTTATGAAGCCATACAGGGGGACCTTGACAGCTGCAAGGAGCGGTTCAACAACAGGCTGAGCGAGTGCAGCATGACTGTTGAGTGTGATTTTGGCCGTTTAAAGGCCCTCTGGCGCTGCCTATATGGGAGCCTGGACCTGGCCGATGACAATATTCCTATGCTTATAGCTGCGTGCTGTATGCTCCATAATATTTGGGAAGGGAAGAGTGAAAGCTTCACTCAGGGCGGGACCACTGAGGCTCAGCGCCTGGAGGCTGAATTTGAACAGCCAGAGACCGAGCTATTAGAGGTGTGCAGTGCAGGGCCTTAAGGATCAGGGATGCCTTGAGGCAGCAATTTGAATCTGAAAGCTACTAATATTTGTTGCTATGCTTGGGAGTGCGGTGCTTGTAATGCTCGGAGGTGATTGTGATTGGTGCAGACTATGCACTGTGAAGGTTTAAGAAAATTGCCTGTTGTTTTGCAGGATTCTGTTTGCTTTCAATTAATGGAATAAAGATTGTCTCTCTCCTCTTGTTGCAATTTTTTAATAAAAGAATTGTTTTGGTTTGAAAGCAAACACACACATCAGCACTGTGGGGAATGGGGGAAGGGAGGGTCCAAGGAGGAGGTGGGGTACTGGGATGGTTAAAGATTTGTGTATGTCATATGCAGCCTTGTCCTTTGGAGTACAGTGCAGTGGATACTGTACTTCAGCCGGGCTAAACTGCAGAGGGATGGGTGTTGAGTGCAGTGGGTACTGGGAGTCCGCAGGGCTGGACTGTGACAGGGCAGGAGTGGAATGCATTGGGTACAGACTGGAACCAGGAGGTTGATAAGAGTGTGTTGGTGGTGTCTGGGGGTGCATGAGAGAGAGTTTTGCAACAGCGGCTGCAGGGGAGGTGAGGCGAGGTGCGGAGCTGCTCGGTTTGTAGTGCTAGTAGCACCTGCAGCGTGCTGCTTGGCGCTCCATAACATTTAAGAGCTGCTTTGTTCTGGTGCGCCGCTTTCTCCTTTCAGTCCCTCTTCTCGCTGTCCCGCCACTCCTTCAATTCTTGTTTTTTCGGCTGTGGAGTGCATTATGACATCATGCAGAAAGTCCTCTTTAGTTCTTCATGGCCGCTTTCTAATTCTGCGCAGCTGTTCAGCCAGCGATGAAAAAGAGGGAGGCTGGGCTCTGAAGGTCATATCTGTAACGCCAAAATACAACATTTTACAGAAGCAATATTGTTTGCAGCACACACACCACTGATTCAGTGATTTAAAACACAGCCACTCTTCACATACCTGTCACTAACTGGTTAACCCCAGGCAAGGACACAAGCTACAAGACCCCAAAAATGGTGAGTAACTACAGGTGCTGGGAAAATCAGTGTTCCAGGACTGTACTGGGCACGTGGCTCTTGGG